CCCCCGGGTCTGTACTGTTTGAACCCCCCCACCCTTGTCATTACTTCCGTGTTGCCAGTGTACCAGGACTTTCCATTTGGTTATCTCTCCTCCATTGCTAATGTGTCCTCGCTGTGATCACAGGAGAGATGTGTCCTTAGGATGTGTCTTTTCTGTGTACACAGACTAGATGTGTCTTTTCTGTGAACACAGACTGGGTGTGTCTTTTCTGTGAACACAGACTAGATGTGTCTTTTCTGTGAACACAGGCCAGATGTGTCTTTTCTGTGAACACAGACTAGATGTGTCTTTTCTGTGAACACAGACTAGATGTTTCTTTTCTGTGAACACAGACTAGATGTGTCTTTTCTGTGAACACAGGCCAGATGTGTCCTCGGGATGTGTCTTTTCTGTGAACACAGGCTGGGTGTGTCTTTGAGATGGGTCCCAGCGAATGCTGAAGCTGTATAAAAGCCACTAGTACGCGTGACTGTTGGTGCAATTGTTGCGAGGAACTTTTTGTGGTTCGATCGGACTCTAAATGACTTCTCTCTCTCTAGGAATCAATGTACATAGTTTGCTACACATTTTTTACACTGAGCACCCGACTTGACTATTATTGTATGATACTGATACATTTCTTGGATTTACTGCAGTCAATTTTCTACCCAGTTTATTACTAGTGATGGTACATAACCTTTTGATCCATACTAATTTATTCTAGTAGTGATTGCATCTTTTGATACGGGCCCGTTTATCAACTCCCTTTTCTCTACTTCACCTCTTTTTGTCCCATGGTTACATTTTGACCCTATTGTTGATGCTGTGTCACCATTCATGTTAATTTCGACATAAACAATTTCTTCCGTGAATTCCTTTTGTTTCTCAGCGTAGCCTTAGTAGAGCTGACAGTTTGTTTCATGTACGTCTACAACATAGCACGTCGCTCATCTACAGCCCCCTGTGGCCGACGGTTCGAATCCCTGTCACTTTCCTGTATTTTTTTGAGTGGTTTTCTCTGGTTCCGTTTTGTCTTTCCTTCCATCCAGATAACATGTCGCGTTTTCTCTTTTTTAAAATTTATTTCTCCGATTGTATTATCGCAAATTTGAGGAAGATCTCATGTTCCTGCCTGTCCTTGTGTTGGGCTAATGCAATTTTTTATTTTATTTTTTTTTTTTTTTATGCCAACTGAACTGTTGTGAGGTCTCCAAATGAGATCCTTCAGACAGATTTTGCCCCACCCACTTACTTTGGCTCTCCTACTGCTATAGCTTAGCCTACTTTTTGTTAGAGTAACTTAGAGCTACCCTTAGCCTGCACATCTCAATATATAGAACACGTTTTTGTCAGGAATTGTTGATGGCACTAGATACAGCCGGACTCTCCTCCTTTTCTCTGCTTTTTTTTTCTTTCTAAATTTCCTCAGGATTTTCAGTCCGTTCTCCATAATATGCAAGCTAGTATAAAGGCAAATGTTCTGTTTTAGTTAAACGTCTATGGTCTATCCAGACAATTGACTCACTGCTCAAAAGTGGACTTAATGGTAAAAAACCCCAAAATGTATGACATTTGACGCCCAGTATTTACAGTCGCGTGCTGTGTGTCTTTGAGAAAACTAAACTACCACGAACCAAAAGTGGGTCATCCACTGTATCGTCATCCACTGCATCGTCAGTGCCAGCAAAACAGCATTTCTATCTCTAGTTACTTCCTCTGAAATACTCGATAGACTCCACAAAGCTATGAAAGTGGGGTTTTTTTGTTGGGTTTTTATGTCCTCCCAATCTCGCTAGACTCCACAATCCTGTTTGGTTAGGTTGTTTTGTTTTTGTTGTTCTCCCAGTCTTTGATGAGGACTGGAGGTGTGTCCAAAATCCTCCGACTTTTCCCAGACTGGGATGTTCAACGTGACAGGGAAGGAGAGTGTGTGTGTGGGGGGAGGGGGGGAGGGGGGATGTGGTGACGTCACCATGCTCTCTTCGCCCTTCCTCGACACCACAGAATTACGGTTCTCTCTCTCTCTCTCTCTCTCTTTCTCTCTCTCTCTCTCTCTCTCTCTCTCTC